TCCCATCCCTCCACCCTGCCCCCACTGTCCTTGCTCCTAACACCTGCTCCAGGAGCCAGGGTGTCCTCCGCAGCCTCTTGCTGGAGAAGGCAGCTCTGAATATCCCAGCCGGGCACCTTTGAGTCTTGGGACTGCAGAGACTGGGGGTCTCCATGCCTCCCGCGCCTCTAAGCAGGGCTGTCAGGATGTGTCCCCCACCGCCTCTGCCGCCGCCATCTCTGAAGGTGGTGGCCATGCGGGCTGAGGGCTGTGTTCCGCAGGTGAAGGTCTCCTACTTTGGGGAGCAGGAGGGCAGAGCCCTGGGCCACAGTGTGCTTTACCTCACTGGCGTCGGTAAGTAGCACCTCCTGGGGGCCCACATATCCCCTCGCCCCGCCTCCCGGGTTGGCTCTTTGAGGGCCTTAGTGGGTTCCTTGGAGAGGAAGATTCTTCATGGCCAGCTTCCTCCACCGCGGAGGGACTTGGATTCCTCAGGGACCTTCTGTCCACTCTGGATCCACAGGGCTTGAGACCCGGCCGTCCTTAGGACCACAAGGATCTAGAAACTTCACTCCCAGTGAACAACAGCTAGACCCACACTAGGCCTCTTTTATCCGGAGTCCCATGCAGACCCTCATTAGACCTCCAAGACCCAGCACGGAACTGTGGAGAGCCACGCACCCCCTTCAGCCAGGGCCAGGGCGATGGAAGGGCAGCCCCCAGAACTTCGGGCCATGTCCCCAGTTGCCAGAGTTTGGGGTCACCAGCATATGATCTAGAACCCCAAGGCCACCTAGAGCTAGCAGGTGGACATAAGCAGGCAAGGAAGTGACTCGAGAGCCGAAGGCTTGGGTCCCTCCACCTCCCAGAACCACAGGGCCAGCCTCAAGAGCCTCCCAAGTGTTAGGTCTGGAGCCCTGGGCAGGGCAGGGCATCCTGGTCCTCACGGGCTTTGGAGGGGTTGGAGTTTACCCAGCCTAGACTTTAGGGGTGTGAGGATGGGGCTGGATGAGCCCCCGGCAGCCCCTCTCTATCCCTTTGCAGATATTTCCCTTGATACCGACACGGGCCGCACAGGCAAGGTGGAGAGAATCCAAGGGGACAAGGTGAGACCCTCCCGGGAACCCAGGACTGCAGGGTTGAAAGGCAAACTTGGGGTGGTCCCGGGTGGATCGTGGCCTTCCTCCAGAAGAGTGATGGATCCCCAGGGACTGTACTATCCAACTGTGTAGAGAACCCATCTGAGGACAGCCGAATGGGCATGAGTGGACATTAACCTACACCCTGTAACCGACATGCTGTGTGATTGCTGGAAAACAGCTTACCCTCTCTGGGTCTCTCTTGTGCCACCTTGAGATTGGTTCTTTTGCTTGCCGCCTTTTTAAATTTTGAGGGCTATGTTTGGAGCCCTAAACACTCAGGAGTACTTCCTAAAAGGCTGTTGAGTGACTGAAGGCAAGGAGAAGACAAGTTTTCGGGTAGAGGAGGCTATGGTGGTCAGCCCCTGGAGAGTAAAGAAGAGGACAGGGTGGGCTCAGGGCATCACCTCACAGGAAGTACCTGGAAGCTGTCCTGGGAGGGGCAGAAGGTACAATTTGAAGGGAAGACTCCAGAGAGGCAGCCTGGATCACAAGGCTTTGAGGATAAGGTGGGCAGGGCTGCCATGGATGGCCGTGCAGGTTGTTCACTGCACAAGCATGCTTGGGCACAGTGGCAACTATGATACAAATCATGTCTGGGGCCCTGTTACAGAGTGCCATAAAGGCTAACAGTGGCCCTATGCAATCCTAAGGACCTGGATTTGAAGGCCAGCTATGTCACTTGGGGCTCACCTCCCAGAACCTCCCCACCCTCTTCTGTGAAATGGGGAAAGTGAGCTCCGCCTCATGGGTCTAGTGGGGAGGCATGCTGGGGAGAGCGGCAACCACAGAGGAGGGAGGGCTCCAGACATCTTTCCTGCCCTGGCTCAGACCTCAGCTTGCAGAGCCTGTGCGACTGCAGGGAGATGCCCGAGATGGCTATGGGATACGTCCCAGGGGAGGGCTGGGATGGGGAGGGTCTCCCAAAGATTCTCCAGATCCTGCCCCTCAACAAGGTCATGGTGTGCCCACCGTGACTTTGGCAGAGCTAAAGCTCAGCTAGTATTTGAAGGCCATTTCTGGGTGTGGTAACAAAACCTCTGCTTCTCCAGTGTGGTGTCTGGGTAGAGCCATTATACATGGTTGTGCAGGTTGTTCACTGCACAAGGATGAGGCGGGTCTAGAGCCTTCCCTGGAACTCCATTCCCCAAATAATCCTTTTTAAAATCTTGAAGCAAACCCAGAGTATGGAAGTCTACAATCTAACAAAGCAGCCCGCCCTGGCCACGTCTAGAACCCCTTCCTGGAGCCTCCTGGTCCCACTGATCCCAAGGCATCTTGTTTTGCTACAGAAAACCTGGCGCTGGGGCCCTGGGGGCTACGGGGCTATCTTGCTGGTGAACTGTGACCGGGACGATCACAGGTCCACGGAGCCTGACCTCACCCATAGCCAGCTGAGGTCGCTGGCTGGTGAGTGACCCAAGGTGTTGTCTGGGCAGTGAGGATGGGGAATGGGGCGATCCTGTTGGGGTGAAGAAAGTGCTATCTCAAGGGAGCCATTCTCTCCAGACCTGCAGGACATGTCCCCACTGGTGCTGAGCTGCGATGGCCCCGACAAGCTCTTCGACAGCCACAAGCTTGTCTTGAATGTGTCCTTTTCTGATTCCAAAAGACTGAGGGTCTTCTGTGCTCGGGGTGAGTGGCCTTGGACTCCCGGCTCCATCCCTGTCTCTCCTCTCCTCCCCCCATCTCTCTCTCTTTTTCTCCATCACCTTTTTCTAACCGTCATGAAGCTCACGCACAACCCCTCCATCGGTACAAAATACAGTCCCCAAGGAGGAGATTCAACAATGGGTTTCATTTTCCGGGGAGGAAAACAGAGGCTCCGACGCAGGAATCCACGGTTGTACAACCATCTGGGGGGAGCAGGCATTCCAACCCAGGTGTCTTGGCTGCACCAAAGCTCCTCCTTTTACCATTGCCCCACCCCTGTTCCCTCCTCGGGCCAATCAGTGTGGACTGAGCTGCCTGCCAAGCACTGTCCGGGAAGGGAGGGGGTGAGGACCAGCGAGGCTGAGGCCCAGGCCCTGCCCCTGCCTCCAGAACCCAACTTTTCCACCAGTTTTTATTAATCAGTCTGCGGCTTTAAAAAATATGGCCAAGGCTGGGCACAATGGCTCACATCTGTAATCCCAGCATTTTGGGAGGCAGAGGCAGGCGGATCACTTGAGGTCAGGAGTTCAAGACCAGACTGGCCAACATAGTGAAACCTTGTCTCTATTAAAAATACAAAAATTAGGCGAGGTGGGGTGGCTCACACCTGTAATCCTAGCACTTTGGGAGGCCAAGGCCGGTGGACAACAAAGTCAGGGGTTCGAGACTAGCCTGACCCTCATGGTGAAACCCCATCTCTACTAAAAATACAAAAATCAGCTGGGCATGGTGGCGAGAGCCTATAATCCCAGCTACTCAGGATACTGAGGCAGGAGAATCGCTTGAACCCAGGAGGCAGAGGTTGCAGTGAGCCGAGGCCACTGAACTCCAGCCTGGGCGACCGAGCAAGACTCTGTCTCAAAAAATAAATAAATAATAAAATAAAAATACAAAAATTAGCTGGGTGTGGTAACTCATGCCTGTAGTCCCAGCTACTTGGGAGGCTGAGGCAGGTGAATCACTTGAACCCAGGAGGCAGACAGAGGTGGCAGTGAGCTGAGATCACTCCACTGCACTCCAGCCTGGGCAACAGAGTGACACCTCATCTCAAAAAAAATAAATAAATAAATAAAGGCTGGGGACAGTGACTTATGCCTGTAATTCCAGCACTTTGGGAGGCCAAGGCGTGAGGATCATTTGAGCCCAAGAGCTTGAGACCAGCTTGGGCAACATGGCAAAACCTTGTCTCTACAGAACCTATAAAAAAATTAACCTGTAGTCCCAGCTACTCTGGAGGCTGAAGTGGGAGGATCGCTTGAGCTGGGGAAGTCAAGGCTGTAGGGAGCCGTGTTCACGCCACCGCACTCCAGCCTGGGAGGCAGAGTGAGACCCCGTCTCAAATAAAAAAGTGAAATCAAATAATAAAAAACCTACCACTCCTTAACCCCGAGTGCACTTCCTTGTTTTTACAAACGGCAACAGGCGTCTCCTTCCCCTTCCTGTTTCCCCTTCACCCTGCTCTGTTGAAACTGACCGAGAACTTGTTGTCCCAGCTAAATGAGCCTGGCAGGAGCCAGAATGTTCCCTCCCACGCACCAGCGGTGGGCGTTTGGGCAGAGGACTCAGCTTGAAAGCACTTAGTGTGACACCAGGATGTGAGCAAAGTCTCGTCAAGGGAATGGACCGCCTCTCCCGCTGTGTGCAGCCACTGCTCTGCTTTCTGCATCTACGGAATTCCCTATCTGGACATTTCATATACGTGGAGCTGTATTATATGGTTTTATTGTAGTGAGCAGAATGTCTTCAATGTTCATCCATGGTGACATGAATCAATGCTTCATTACTTTTCTTATGTTTTAGAGACAGGGTCTCACTCTGTTGCCCAGGCTGGCGTGCAGTGATGCGATCACAGCTCTCTGCAGCCTTGAACTCCTGGGCTCAAGCGATACTCCCACCTCAGCCTCCCGAGTAGCTGGGACTACAGACATGTGTCACCATGCCTGGCTATTTTTTGAAATTTTCTGTAAAGATGGGGTCTCGCTATGATGCCCAGGCTGGTCTCAAGCAATCCTCCCGCCTTAGCCTCCCAAAGTGCTGGGATTACAGACATGAGCCACCATACCTGGCTGGTCATTACTGTTTATGAATTAAAAGTATCCCGTCTTATCAATATTTCACATTTTGCATATCTATTTATCCATGGGTAGTTTTCACATTTTATGCCAGGTGCTTCCATCTCGTTATTTTGTTTAAGGTTTATATTGGTTTCATGAGAAATGTAATGTTAGCCATTTTACAGATGAGAAACCGAGGCTCAGAGAGGCTGAGTCACTGAGCCAAGGCCACGCAGCTTGCACGTGGCAGAGCTGGAGAGGAACCCAAGCGGCTCTAACCACAAAAGGTGCTGGATTCCTGGGCTTGCAGCCCCTCGTCCCTGTCTCCGCGCTAGCCCCTGACTCTCGTTCTTTCTAGGTGGGAATTCTCTCTCCGACTACAAGCAGGTGCTGGGGCCCCAGTGTCGGTCCTACCAAGTTGAGCGGCAGCCGGGGGAGCAGGAGGTCAGGTTCTACGTGGAGGGGCTGACCTTCCCCGATGACGACTTCCTGGGGCTGGTTTCCCTCAGTGTCTGCCTGGTGGACGCGAGGGTGTGTACAGCACTGGATGGTGGGCGTGGGGGCTGAGGGGCTTGGAGGCCCAGTGTGGAGGCTCCAGGGCTGGGCAGGCTGGGGGCTGGGGGGCTTGATGGGGCTTGGGCAAGCTAAGGATCCCTGCAGGGCCCACCAAGTCCTCATTCTCCCCTTAGGCCCTGCTCGAGGTGATCCTCTTCACAGACACTGTGGTCTTCCGCGTGGCCCCCTGGATCATGACGCCGAATACTCAGCCTCCCGAGGAACTGTATGTGTGCAGGTGAGGCTCCCTTCCCCAGCCCTCCCTGAGTCTGGAGTGCAGAGGTAGGGGCAGAAGCTGTGTCAGGGCTGCGCCCCTCACTCAGACCAGTGGATTCACGGTGGGCACCCATTTGGGCAGAGCCAGTGGCGGGACAGCAGCAGGTGGGCTGGGCCCACCCTGCCCCACCCTGCCCTGTGCAGCAAAGACCCCGCCCAGGTCATTAGCTCAACCTCCGGCCGCCCTGCCCCTGTCCTGCCCTCTTCCTGCAGCCCTGGAGCATCTCCGATTTAGTCTGGGCAGCAGGGCCAGGCCCTGCACAGGCTGCTGGTGGCCATAGGAGACTTACCCTCGCTGTGACACGGGTACAATCCCCTGCCTGCTGAGGACATGGGAACCCATCTCCGGGGCCCACGGCAAGCCCCGTCTCACCCAGCTCGCTGGTCCTTCTGCCATCTCTCAGAATTCGCATCATGCCCTTGAGGGGAGGATCAGCCTTGATGGGCAAAGCCCTGCCAGGCCTCTTTGCCAGAGGTCAGACCACTGGAAAAAGCCACAGTTGAGCTGGACAGAAGTTAAAAGGCTGGGAAGGGTGTGGTCAGACAGGTTTGCTCTGCTTCCCTGGGTCTAGGTGTGTACAGGTATTAACAAGAAGCTCTTCTCCTGCCTGCTAACCCTCCCCTGACCCCTTGGCTTAGGCCAATTGGGTGGAACAGGAGTACACAGGGCTACTTGCCCCTCACTGCTACCTTAACCCATAAGATTCAGCCCCAGGTCACCTCCGGGGCTGCTCTGCTGACTCCCTATGCCGGGTTAGGTGCCCTGCCTCTGGGCTCCCCAGCCTGCTCTTACGCCTCACCTTGCACCTGCCACCTGATATGATCTGCAGACTTCATCCATCTTCCCCATGGGCCTATGAGCCTCTCAAGGTCATGGACTGGAACCCCTGTTCCCCAGAGGCTGCACAGGCCCAGCACAGACTGAAGAATGCCACCCACGCCTCAGCCACAGTTGGAGGTCTTTAGCATGCTCCCCTCTCGCTGTCTTTTACAGTGTGGTGGACGACCACGGCTCCAATGAGAAATTCCTGGAGGACATGTCTTACCTGGCACTGAAAGCCAGCTGCAAGCTGGTCATCTGCCCTCGGGTTGAAAATCGAAATGACCGCTGGATCCAGGTGGGAGCAGAAGCCGACTCCAGAAGAGGGTTGGGCAGCCCAGGAGGCCTGCAGCCTGGCTGGGGAAAGGGAAGCCGCACGGGCTCCTGCTGGACCTCAGTGTGGCTGGAGAAGCCAGGGCAGCCTGGGCCAGGCCTCTGGGGTGAGGGCTCTTCTGCTCCTGCGTCAGCCCCAGCCCCACTGCTTCCCTCCACATGCTCTGGTCCCAGACGAGAGTTCTCTCCTGGCTGGGGTCCTAAGAAGCCTCACTTCTCCCTCTGCCCCGCCGCCAGGTCTTAGGGAGGACCTGCTGCCCTGCCCTGCCCCAGGCCTGGTGGGGACCACCCTGCTCTGTAAACCCGAAAAAGGTCTTTTTCGTGACTTTCTCATCTCTCCCCTCCCAGGACGAGATGGAGTTTGGCTACATCGAGGCCCCTCACAAATCCTTCCCCGTGGTCTTTGACTCCCCCCGGAACAGAGGCCTGAGGGATTTCCCTTATAAGAGGATCCTGGTATGTAGCGACAGGCAGAGTGCGGAAACCCTGGGCGGGTCCTCCTGGAGGAGCAATAGTGAGGTCTCCTCTGGGCCTGGTCCTATAGGGCCCAGAGAACAGCAAGAGGGGGCAGACGGATACAGAAGGTGGGATATCAGCAAACTGGGGAACCAGTGGGGAGGTCGGACAAGAGATAGAAATGATATGCAAATCACATGCAAATAGGCAAGGTTGGGCAAGAGATGGAAATGTTATGCAAAACATGCAAATAGGCAGCAGCCTGATTGTTCCTGTGTTGGGGAAATTAGCATTGTGGTCAGCTCTAGGGGAGACCAAACTGCCTTTTGGAGGGAATGCACCCTTAGTGAGCCTGCCTGGGTCCTGTTCTTAAGAGCTAGGGCCTCTCTTTAGGTGTCAAATGTTTTCTGAACACCTACTATGTGCCAGGCACTATGCTGCCTCCTGTGCGCAAGATGGCAACAACAGCACCCACCATTATGTATTGCGTTCCAGGAGCTGTCTCTTAGTTTTCCATGGCTTACCTGATTTATTCCATGGGGCACGCCTATGGATAAGTGCTTTCATTATTCCCCCTTTATGGATGAAGAAATCAAGGTTCAGGGAGGTTAAGCAACTTGCCCAAGGCCATGCAGCAAGTTAATGGTGGCACCAAGATGCAAAGCTAAAGGGGCTGTCCCCAGAGTCCTGCACTCAGCCTTGAGGCTGCACTACCCCTCGAGGTGAGCCTACGGTCTCTGTCTGTTTCCCGGCTCCCACTGCCCCACTGCTGGGACAGTGCCGGTCCAGGCGGGAGCCATGATGGGATGCAGTCTGTGGGCACACACAGCAGGGACATTCATCCCAGCCTGGAGGGATCAGGTGACAGTGAACCCCGCAGGTGAGTGCACCCATCAAGGCCAGCGTGCTGGAGAGGAACCCACCTGATCTGCCCCAGGCTTGGCCTACGGGAGCCAGGGGATTTTTTACTGATTTCATCTTTCATTTTTTTTTGAGACAGAGTCTTGCTTTGTTGCCCAGGCTGGAGTGCAGTGGCATGAATTTGGCTCACTGCAACCTCCGCCTCCTGGGTTCAAGCGATTCTCCTGCCTAAGCCTCCCAAGTAGCTAGGACTACAGGTGTGTGTCACCATACCCAGCTAATTTTTGTATTTTTAGTAGAAACGGGGTTCCACCATGTTGTCCAGGATGGTCTTGATCTCTTGACCTCGTGATCCGCCTGCCTCGGCCTCCCAAAGTGCTGGGATGGCGGGGGTGAGCCACCGCCCCGGCCCTGCTCTCATCTTAATCATTGTCATTTTCTACTTTCTTTGTGTTTAGTTTGCTGTTCTTTTTCTAGCTTGAATTGGAAACTAAGATTTTTCAGCTTTTTCTCTTCCCCAAAAAATACACGTGTTTTTTCATTTTATTTTGTGAGAGAGGGTCTTGCTCCGTCACCCAGGCTGGAGTGCAGTCGTACGATCCTAGCTCACTGCAGCCTCAACCCTCTGGGCTTAGCCATCGTCCCTCTTCAGCCTCCTGAGGAGCTGGGACCACAGGTGTGTGCAACCATGCTCGGTTTAGACACGTGTCTAGAGCTCTGGAACTCCCTAGCCGTGTGCCTCACCATCCTCCCATGACGTTTACTGTACTGTCAAAAGACAGTAGATTTTCATGAACTTTCACTTTAAAACCTTGTCTAATTTCCACTTTGATTTCTTCTTTGATCCCTGGATTCTTTAGGTGTGTATTGCTTAATTCCCAAACACTTGCGGGAATTTCTAGTTATCTTTTGGTTATTGATTTGACTTTAATTGCATGGTTCTGGGAGCCCAGGGGGGATTTGTATACAGTGGATAGAGGTCATTTTTCAGGCTCCAAGAGCCAGGGACTAGGAGTCCCTCAGCATCTTCCCCCTGCTCCAAGAACCGTCTTGTCCTGGCCTCACTGACCTCTCCTTCTTGGGGTGGGGGTCTCGCTGCTCCTTTCATAGGGTCCTGACTTTGGATACGTGACCCGGGAGATCCCATTCGCTGATCCCTCCAGCCTTGACTCCTTTGGCAACCTGGACGTCAGCCCGCCTGTCACGGTGGGCGGCATGGAGTACCCGCTGGGCCGGATCCTCATTGGGAGCAGCTTCCCCAAGTGAGGGAGCAGGGAGGGAGGGGGGGCATGAGGGGCCAACAGCAGCATCCACCCTCCTGTGCCCCCATCACAAACACAATTCCCCAGTCTGAGAAGTGGCCTTAACTTCCTGCGTGGAATCCTAGAATCAAAGACCCAGTGACCTAGGGTCTCAGATATAAAAGATCACAGAATCTTAGGAGGAAACTCAGACACCTGCGGCCTGCCGTCTTTTGGCCTCCTTCATTTTATGAGCTTAATGAGTCTCCAACATTAAATAGATACATCCGGGGACCTTCCACAAAAGGCCAGGTCTCTGACTGCTCATGAAAAACTGGAGAAGCTGGGGACGTGAGATACCGTCCTGCACAGAGACAGAGGAATAGACTCACTGACTTCTCCCATTAGGAAGTCAGAATAGCATCTGTCCTTAGCATGGCTTAAAAGGGCCCTGACGTCACGAAGTGCCCAGGGCAGGTGGCTGCAGGTGAGTAAGTGATTGGCCAGGATACCCTGATGACGGAGGCGAGTTGATGGATCTCACCCTGGACAGAGGTGATGAGGCAGGAAATAAAGTATTTAGGTTTTAGCCCTCGAACAGGTGACAGTGTCTGCCAAGACCTGCTGAATGGATCCACACCCTCCCTGCAGGTAACCAAAGAATAGGGGGTAAAGTGTAGGGTCCTGGTGGGTGCCCCTGCTTCCTCCCTGGAGATGATGCCCACTGCAAGCCCTGGAGATCACCTTCCTATTTGTGGGGGTTTTTGCATGGCAAGGGTGTCCCCATTTGCCCCCCAAGCCCTGGCTGACCATCTGGTCTCCAGCCCAGAGGAGCCGGGCAGTGTTGAGAAGGTCACAGCCTCACGTGGTGAACCTGGCAGCCTTGGGGCTCTGGATCAGGTGAGGTGAGGCTTCCTGGCACCTACCCAGGCGTGTAACTGGGTGCCCAGGCTGGATGCCTGGGGCTGAGGCTGGCCAGGATGAGAGGTATATGCTTACCCTGCTGGTGACTCATGCCCAGACACTATTGTGTGGGCTGTTCTGCCCACGCCCTTGCGGGCAGAAGTGCCTTGAGGCCTCAGGACAGTTTCTAACTCAGGGAGGGACCCGTGAGGAATCAGGCTTTGGAATCAGATGGACTTGGGTTCGAGTCCTGGCCCTGCCACTTGCCAGCCATATAATTTAGGCTGTGACCCCTAAACCAGTGTTTACCACAGTGCCTGGCACATAATAGGTGCTCAATTAATTCATTTAAAAAAATGTTGTGTGCCGAGCACAGTTAAAGGTACTGGGGATACATCAGTGAACAAAATAGACGCATTTTAAACGAGCAAATTATTTTATGCTCTGTGACTCCATTTCCTTATCTTTAAAATGGGCCTGATAAAAATCCCAGTCCCAGCTACAGAATCAGCATTACAGGGGATAAAGAATTTGTGTCAACCACCTCTTGAATGTTTAGGTATTCTTCAGTCGGCCCCAGTAACGGGGCTGTTTCAAAGCAGGTTGGAACTAACTGATCACCTACTACCTACTGTGTGTCACACCCATAGTGCTTTCCCCAGGCTACCTCATTTAATTTCTACAACAACCGTGTGAGGCTGAGACCATCATTATCCCATTTTACAGATAAGGAAGCTGAGCTTAAAAAAGTTAAGTTACGTGCTTTCTTTCATACATTCATTTACCAATTCGACAAATATTTATGGAGACTTCCGATATGCCAAGCCCAAGATCCAATGCTGAGGATACAGAAATGGCTGAGAAGCTAGCCCTGGAGATTTATAGTCTAATGAGGGAGAAAGGCAAGCAATGGATCAGAGAGGGGATCACATGTAATCCCATGTGCGGTGTCTCAGAAGGCTTCCTAGGGGCAGCAATGATATTGACGCATAATCATAAAGGGGAAACAGACTTCAGGCCAGTAATGAAAGAAGCAAAGTAGGCGGGGCGCGGTGGCTCATGCCTATCATGCCAGCACTTTGGGAGGCCGAGGTGGGAGGATCACCCGAGGCCAGGAGTTTGAGACCAGCCTGGCCAACATAGTGAAACCTCGTCTCTACTAAAAATACAAAAATTAGCTGGGCGTGGTGGTGCATGCCTGTGATCCCAGCTACTAGGGAGGCTGAGGCAGGAGAATTGCTTGAACCCAGGAGGCGGAGGTTGCGTTGGGCCGAGATCACACCACTGCACTCCAGCCTGGGCAACAGAGCAAGACTCCATCTAAAAAAATAAAGGAGACAAAGTACCGTGGAGTGGACCAGTGTTGCAGACAGAGGGAACCACATAGGCAGAAGCCTGGAAGCCAGAGAAGGTACAGCTCAAAGGAAGAGCGGAAAGAACTTGGTATAAGTGGCATGTAGAAGGGCAGGGATGGACTGGCAGAGCCTCAGGCAGGAGCGGGCTCTGTAGGTCCAGCTGGGGAAAGAGTTGAAATGCCTCATGGGGCGGTTCTGTCCTCCAGGATCCCCGGGACCCAGGCTCAGGGGCAAAGAGCTCAGAGAACGCAGGCTCAGGAAGGGGAAGGGGCTCCTTTGTGCTCTCCAAGGACTTTCTTCCCTTCTGTGTCCCAGGCTCCTGCCCCAGTGTCTACATCACACTGCAACACATGTACGTCCTTACCTGTCTGCTCCCACAGGCCTCACTAGCCAGCGAGCCAAGCCAGGAACCTTCTCTCAAGGGTGCAGAGGTCTTTTCTGGGAGCTCCCAGGCACAGAACAAGGACTCCAGATGGGAACATGAGGGGTCTCCAGTGTGGACGTGCCCCCATTCCATTGGCTGTTGGATTGAAAACCAGGAATGAGGCCCTTGGTGGACGGACGGGAACTGAGGTTTGAAAAGGGTTAGCTACGTGCTGAGGACCGCATGGCAAGTTACCAGTACGGTCAGAACCCAGGTCTCCTTCTACTTGGGCCCCACACTAAAATTTAGCACCTCAGGTTACTGTCCTGTGACCCTGCTTTGGCTTCTGACCTTAGCAACCAAACATTCTAGCAGAGAGAAACAATCAGTGAACAAAACAAATAAGCACATCCTATCATATGTATGAATATACTATGAATGCACAAACAAACGCATATAACTTTACTTTTCTGGGCCTCAATTTCCTCATCTGTAAAATGGGGACAGTAATAGTCTTAACCCCACAGGGCTGCTCTAAGGATTAAATGAGGTCACTTGGGCAAGGCACGGTGGTGCAGGCCTGTAATCCCAGCACTTTGGGAGGCTGAGGCGGGTGGATCACCTGAAGTCAGGAGTTCAAGACCACCCTGACCAACATGGCAAAACCTCATCTCTACTGAAAAACAAAAATTAGCTGGGTGTGGTGGCGGGTGCCTGTAATCCCAGATACTCGGGAGGCTGAGGCAGGAGGACGGTTTGAACTTGGGAGGCAGAGGTTTCAGTGAGCCAAGATTGTGCCATCACACTCTAGCCTGGGAGACAGAGCAAGACTCTATCTCAAAAAAGATAAATAAATAAATGAGGTGGCTTGGGTAAAGCATGTGTGTGGCACATGTCGATGAATATTTGTTTTAGCAAGGCTGATGTTCAAACAAAGCCTTGAAGGAAAAGAGGCAGTGAGGCCGGGCACAGTGGTCCTCACTTGTAGGCCCAGGGCTATGGAGGCCGAGGTGGGTGGGCTGCTTGAATCCAGGGGTTTAAGACTAGCCTGGGTGACATGGCGAAACCCCATCTCTACAAAAAATACAAAAATTAGCCGTGTGTGGTGACACACACATCTAGTCCCTGCTACTCGGGAGGCTGAGGTGAGAGGATTGCTTGAGCATGGGAGGTTGAGGCTGCAGTGAACCATGACTGCAACACTCTTCTCCAGCCTGGGCTACAGAGTGAGACCCTGTCTCAAAAAAAAAANAAAAAAAAAAAAAAAAAAAAAAAAAAAAAAAAAAAAAAAAAAAAAAAAAAAAAAAAAAAAAAAAAAAAAAAAAAAGGCAAGCAAGAAAAAAAGATGCATTTAAAAATGTGGCTATTTAGAATATTCCAGTATTCCAGGGAGTAGAAACAGCCCATCCAGGCTGGGTGCAGTGGCTCACGCCTGTAATCCCAGCACTTTGGGAGGCCCAGGCGGGCGGATCACGAGGTCAGGAGATCAAGACCATCCTGGCCAACATGGTGAAACCCCGTCTCTACTAATATATAAAAAACAGGCCAGGCATGCTGGAGGTGCGCCTGTAGTCTCAGCTACTTGGGAGGCTGAGGCAGGAGAATCGCTTCAACCCAGCAGGTGGAGGTTACAGTGAGCCGAGATGGCACCAGTGCACTCCAGCCTGGCGACAGAGCAAGACTCTGTCTCAAAAAATAAAAAATAAAAAAAAGGAACAGCCCGTGCGAAGGCCCTGAGGCAGGAGCAGGCTGGAGATAGCAGAACAGCAGGGAAGCCTGTGGGTCTGGAGCCAGGTGAGCAAGGAGGGGAACAAGGGGGAGTGAGGCCAGAGCTTGGCAGAGCGCGCTTCAGATGTAACCAGGAGCTGGTATTTGTAAGTATATGACAGGGTCATCAGGAGGATTAAACAAGACACTTAGTGCGAGGACCCTAAGGCCAGCACACAGTAGGTGCTCAACACATGCACAATCCATTCTCTGCTGTCTTGGCTTCTCCAACCTCTGCGCCCCACATTTAAAGTGTTCTTTGAGCAATTCCGCCCCCTGGTGGCAGACCTGATGATGACTCAGAGGCAAGGTCTGATGCCTCCCAGGCACAAGGTGACTGCCCGCACTCTCCCTCCTGGCCAGGTCCGGCGGCCGGCAGATGGCCAGGGTGGTGCGGAACTTCCTGAAGGCCCAGCAGGTGCAAGCACCCGTGGAGCTCTACTCGGACTGGCTCGCCGTGGGCCACGTGGACGAGTTCCTGACCTTTGTGCCTACTTCTGACCAAAAGGTGTGTCCCTTCCCTCCCCACCTGAGCCACCTGTGCCCCGGTCTGACCTGAGGGGATGAGTCAGGGCAAAGCCATTTGAAACCAGCTCAACGCTGTGTCCTGAGTAAGCTCTGGGTCAGGACATCCTCGGGGTCAGGGCACCCTGACACGCTCATCCTCACACTTCCTGGACCCAAATCCCTTAGCCAAGAGCCAGGAATGATATTGATAATAATTGGCAATATTTACTGAGCACCTACTATGTGCCAAATACTCACATGTTTTAATTTATTTAATCCTCCACATGCCCATCAAGTGGGTGCAATTATTATTGCCCCGTTTTACAGGTGAGGAAATGGAGGCTCAGAAGGGCCATTAACCCATCCAAGCTCACCCAGCCTACAGGTGTCAGGATAGGATTTGAATCCGGGTTCCAGGCCTCTACAGTAAGCCTTGCAGAGGTGGCTGGGGAAGGCATGGCCAGGGAGCCAGCCTCCTGGGAGGGGAGGCCTCCCAGTGACCAGAGGTAACAGCCCAATGTGGCTCTGCTAGGGACAGCTCTGACAGCAAAGGAGGAGACATTTGAATTGGGTTTTTTTGTTTGGTTTTTTGAGACAGAGTCTTGCTCTGTCACCCAGGCTGGAGTACAATAGCGCTATCTCGGCTCACTACAACCTCTGCCTGCCAGGTTCAAGCGATTCTCCTGCCTCAGCATCCCGAGTAGCTGGGATTACAGGTGCCTGCAACCATGCCTGGCTAATTTTTTGTATTTTTAGTAGAGACGGGGTTTTGTCACGTTGGCCAGGCTGGTCTCAAACTCCTGACCTCAGGTGATCCACCCGCCTCAGCCTCCCAAAGTGCTGGGATTACAGGCGTGAGCCACCGCACTCAGGCCCTGAATTGGGCCTTGAAGGAAGAAATCTGAATGCCCTAGTGGGCAAAATGCGAAGGGCCTCCCGGGAGGGAGAAGGGCACAGACAAAGTCCTGGAGGTGGGAACCAGCCCGGAGGCCCGGGAGAGCTGCGGACAGTGCTTTGTGGCTGGTGTGCGGATTGAGTGTTGGGGGGACTCCCAAGCACTGTCAGGCCCTCCTGAGTCTGGGGTGTCCTGTGTCTAGGGGGAGCCTGTCCGCTGAGCCCTTGTCCCTCCCTCTGTGTCAGGGCTTCCGGCTGCTCCTGGCCAGCCCCAGAGCTTGCCTCAAACTCTTCCAAGAGAAGATGGAAGAGGGCTACGGGGAGGCGGCCCAGTTTGATGGTGAGTGCCAATGACCCGGTCACCCTGGGGGACCCTGCCCTTCCATCACCAGCCCTGGGTCCAGCCCCTGCTCCTGCAGATCTCTCAGCTGAGCTCAGAGCCTGACACCCACTCTCCCTTTCTTGGGTCCCCAGGTCATCTGCTGGGTAGGAAGTACCTGGACCACGCTCCAGGAGAGGAAAGGCACAGGAAGCCCGAGTGCCAGTCTATGCCAGGCCTCTTGTTGTTCTCTCTCCCGTCTGATCTCTCCTCCCCCTTCCTTATCCCTGTTCACAGGAGTGGAAACTGAGGCTCAGAGAGGAGAACTGGCTTGGCCAGGGCGGTGCAGCCAGGGAGCAGCAGGGCTGGGGGCTCGAGAGAGGAAGGTGGAGAAGCCAGGCTTGGTCAGGGCCCCTCTGCAGAGCTCCCTGCAGGAGCTGAAGACCCTCTAGGGCTCGGTTGGCCCGCCTCCCCTCCTTACCACAGCCTCTGTGTTCTCACCTGGGGAACGGAGCATTGGAATGGATGTGGTGTCGCCGTCCACAAGGAGAGACCTGGGTGAAAATCCTGGTCTCGCCATTTGCTGGCTGTGGTATCAAGGGTGTGTTCTGAACCTCTCAGTGCCTCAGTTTCCCCTTATCTGCGTTGGAGGTGATAATTAATGCCTCCTATAATTGCTATAAAAATTAATAATAAATTAAGTAGGATGCCCAGAGTGTGGTGGAAGTTCAATCATCGCAGCTGTACCACAATTATTAGGCTCCTAGTCTAGAGTCACTTCCTTAGGGGTTTCTCATCCATCACCAGGTTTCCTTGCAGCCAGGGCCTGGTCCCATCAGCGTTCTCAGTCTCTGGCTTTCTCTATCCTGGCTTCTGACCCTGGCAGTGAGGTAGGAGAGAAATCCTGGCCTGGATTATGTAGCCCCAGACCCAAGAGGGCCTCCAGGCAGTGCTCCCTGAGCTATGTACTGTCTCTCTCTTCTTGCAGGGTTAAAGTACAAGGCAAAAAGAAGCATTAATGAGATGTTGGCGGACAGACGCCTCCAGAGAGACAGTCTTCATGCACAGGTGAGGGGCAGGACCATCGGGTGCTCAAAGAGGTCCTTTCCCTTCCAGGGAGAAGCAGCCCCAGGAACTGCTGGGGTGTGTGGCGGGGTGGGGAGGTGGGGGATTCGACTCTGGAGCTCTGATGGTCCTGGGGGCTGCTGGGGCCTGTGGGTAGGATAGAGCCTCTGCCTTCAGAAACCCACAGTCTAATGGAAGAGACAGAGCCATGCCCTCAGGGAGCTCCCAGCCTAGTGAGGGAGACCTGGCCCTGATCTGGGACAATGACCTATTTCCGCGGAGGCAAATCTGAGTTCTCTTCTGAGAAGTCTGGTGGAGTGAGAGAGACATGGTGGGGAGATGGGACCTTGCGGGGCCCAGAGGTGGGGTAGGGAAGAGTCAGGGGGACTCCGTGAGAACAGTGCAAACAAGAGGTCAGGAAAAGCAGGGCTTGCCCTGAGGATAGAAATTGCCTGCCCCATGCAGGGTGAAGGGGCTAGCACAGAGCCTGTGCTTTGTAAAGGGGAGGAGGCCCCTTACCCCTCCCCAGCGGTGCCCACACTTTTTCCTAAGCTGCTGAGAAGGGACAGGAGCATCAGCCACGCTGTGGCTCTGGCTGCATCAGTGTGTTGTACTGACAAGGACGTTTGCAACCAGAAACTGCCTGGGTTTGAACCCCGGCTCTGCCACTTCCTAGCCATGCACATTTGGGCAGGTTGCCTGAGCCTCAGTTTCGCCAGGATAGCAATGGCTTCTATTGCAGAAAGCTGTTGTGAGGCTTCAAGGAGCTAGAAGGCCCAGAGGGCTTTACACAGTAGGCCCAGCACACAGTAGGTGCTTGGCCAGTGTTTTGTTCTTCCTGGTCCCGGGCTGCCCAGCTGCCTCCTTCCCCAGAGATGCATTGACTGGAACCGTGACGTGCTGAAGCGGGAGCTGGGCCTCGCGGAGAGTGACATCGTGGACATTCCCCAGCTCTTCTTCCGGAACGGCTCGTATGCAGAAGCCTTCTTCCCAGATATGGTGAGAGCCCTAGGCAGGGTCCTGCTGGGGGTGTCTCCTGGGGTCTGAGAAGAAGCTGTCCCTGGCCTGGGGCAGGTGGGTGCAGAGGCTGGAGGGCCCTGGGGACCTCTCCAGGGTCTGTTTTTGTGCATATAGAGAACATTTCCATCAGTGGCTCTCAACCAGGGCAATTTTGCCCCCAGGGGATTTTTATTGCCACGATGAGGTGGGTGTCCCTGGCATCTGGTGGGTGGAAGACAGGGATTTCACTAAACATCCTGCAGGGCATAGGATGTCCCGCCACAAAGTGGTTTTTTTTTCTTCTCGCCCAAATGGAAAAAGAAAGCGTGGTTTGCTTCCAAATGTTTCAGGCTTCTGTCTCTGGGTCTCAGCTGCTGTTGCATTCCTCACCACGCCCCTCACCTGCTGCTCCCCAGTGGGGGTCCTGTGTCAGGCAGGCGGGGGCAGGTGGGGCGGGCGGTGGCCTCTCTGACTCTCATTAACTGGGCAGCTGACAAGGAGATGAGCAGATGTGATCTCACCTGGGAGGGGCCTGAGCGATGCTATCAGGGCAGGCCTGGCCCAAGTGCCCATTAACTTCTTGGGAAAGGATGTTGGGGTGTTGGTGGCTGGGAGGGGTAGTCCCCCAGGACGAGGACAGACTTTCTTTCTTCAGACTGCGGTCTTTGTCTTGGATCCCTCTCATGGGACAAGCTGAGGGTTGGAAGTGCATGTTGGGATCAGGATGCAGTTTGCAGGAGGTCGGGAGGACCTGTGTGTGTTCCTGATCCTCAAGGTGGGATTCCAGCCTCTAGGTCCTGGCAGAGACCCCCAGGCAGGATTTCTCGACTCTGTAGCTCTGTTGCCATTTTAGGCTGAATAAGCCTGTGCTGTAGATGTCTAGTGGCCTCCCTGGTCTACACCCACTAGATGCCAATAGCACCCGCCTAGTTGTGACAACCAAAAATGTCCTCGTGGACAAAATCGGCCCTGATTGAGAACCGCTGCTTGAAGGCAGTGCTGTCTGTTAGAACATTCTGTGATGATGATAATGTTCTATATCAGCACGTCCAGTAGCCACTCAGCGACACGTGGCTTTGGGCACTTGAAATGTGGCTAGCGTCAGTGGAGAAGAGAAATTGTAACTTTATGGCTGGGCGCGGTGGCTCACGCCTGTAATCCCAACACTTTGGGAGGCTGAGGCGGGTGGATCATGAGGTCAAAAGGTTGAGACCACCCTGGCCGACATGGTAAAATCCCCTCTCTACTAAAAATACAAAAATTAGCTGGGCGTGGTGGCACACACCTGTAGTCCCAGGTACTCGGGAGGCTGAGGCGGGAGAATAGGTTGAACCTGGGAGGTGGAGGTTGCAGTGAGCAGAGATGGTGCCACTGCACTCCAGCCTGCTGTCAGGACAAAACTCCGTCTCAAAAAAAAAAAAGAAAAGAAATCGTAACTTTATGCAAGTTTAATTTTAATTTAAACAACCGCATGTGTCCGGTGGCTACTGTGGTGGACGGCAAAGCGCTAAGGGGCTGTTAGGCTCTGGTTCTGGCTGAGGGGCGGGGGAGGGCCTAGGCTGGAGCCCATGACCCCTTAGTCAGCCCTCTTCGGGCTGTGGCCTGGCCTCTGTCTGCTGGAAGCTCCCTGCCTGTTGGTCACCCTGTGGGGATTCCCTAGCTTCAGTATAGGCTCCGTGGAAGGATCCCAGGTTGTCTTCACGGGAGGGTCCCATAGGAAACACCCAGTTAACCCCCTTGGTTTGTCAAATGGAGAAACTGAGGCTTAGAAGGAGAGTGGGTCATTTGTCTGAGGTCACACAGTGAGCAAGTGGCGGAGTTGGGACCAGCCCCCAATCCTGTGACTCTTCACTCAGGAGGAAGCAGGGGCCTGGCTGGCCCTGCCCTGGCTCCTTGCTCCTCTTTCTGCCCTTTGCCCCCTGCATGGCTAACCTCACTCGCCCCAGCATGTTCTGGCCCATTAGCGGGCAAAGAGGTAGTTCAGGGCCAAGGCCAGGGGGCTGACCTCAGGGGGCCTTCCAGCTTTGCGTTGGTCCTGGCCATGGATGAGGGTGGGCCAGACTTGAGGGCAGTGGGCAGAGCACGGAGAGTTTGAGGGCACAGTCCAGGACAGCCCCCCTCCCACCCAAAACAGCCCAGAACCGCCCTCTAGAGAGCATACCCAGGGTCCCCTTTGAACACCAAGGGTCGCCCCTTATGACCTCTTGCCATCAACCTGAGCTGAGGTTTCCTCTAAGAAACCCCTACACTGTTGCATGGGGGAGACTTCCCATTCCCAGGATTAGGGCCCCAAGCCAGGTCCACAACCAAGGGAAGCCGAGGTGCCCCCAGAGATAAACTCAAGTGTCCCCACAGGCTTTCATCCCCTTCCCTCAACTCCTCAGTCCCACAGGGGGCCACAGCACCACATTCTGACAAGATACACAGGGTGTGGGTTTTGGCATCTGTCAGATCCAAGTCCAAAGGTCAGTCTCACCATTCTCTGGCTGTGTATGGACTTGATGATGTGACTTAACCTGTCTGAGCCACAGCTTCAGAGCGAGGCTGTGAGATTTAGTGATGATATATCTGGCACATAGAAGATGCTCAATAAACAGTAACAATGATCAGGGCTGCCAAAGACAGTTGAGCAAGCTGTGCACTGCAAAAGCACACCAACTTTGGAAGACATTCATACCATAGACCTTATAGGTATATATATTTGTTGTACAAGTTTCTGGCAGATGACACAAACATCTCCTGTTCTAACAAAGTTGCTATAATATGACAATTTTCTCATAGGTGGAAGAAAGTGTTGGAGAAGTGCTTCCTTTTTTTTTAATGTACAAAGTTCCTGGTAGCCCTGGCTGTTATTCAACCTCATCTTCAATCCTGAATCTTTTTCTCCTCTGCATTCATAGACCCTAGCTCTTGAGCAAGCCCCAGTCCTAGAGCCCATTCTGGGCTTGGGTATGGTCAACCCATTCCCCAGGGCCTGTCTCATTCTGGCAAGGATGTGCCGCTTGGTGCCCGACCCCCAGCGAGCACCCAGGAACTGTACCGGCAAGTTTGCCCTTTGTACTGGGTTAGGGTTAGGGCTTCTGGTAAGGGCGGGACAGGCCCTGGGGAATGGGTTAGGGTTAGGGTTAGGGGTTTTGGGAAGGGTGGGACAGGTCCTGGGAAATGGGTTGGCCATAGCCAGAGCCCAGAAGGGGCCCCAGCTGTACAGCAGTCACAGCCAGACAGCCTTCCTCTTGCCTCTTCTCTTTTGCAGGTTAACATGGTGGTCTTAGGCAAGTACCTGGGCATCCCCAAGCCCTACGGGCCCATCGTCGATGGTCGCTGCTGCCTGGAGGAGAGGGTGCGGTCCCTGCTGGAGCCGCTGGGCCTGCACTGCGTCTTCATCGACGACTACTTGTCCTACCACGAGCTGCTTGGGGAGATCCACTGTGGCACCAACGTGCGCAGGAAGCCCTTTCCCTTCAAGTGGTGGAGCATGGTGCCCTGAGCCTGCCCCCACTCGCCATCCTCTCTGCCCTCTTGCTGGTGACCCTGTCAGGGTGAGGGCAAGGAACAACCACCTGGCTTCCATTCTCTTGGGGAAGCCTTGGCACTTTGCAAACATCCTGGCCACCGTGGGCACCAGGGCACAGGGATGGGTACCACCCACCCTCGCCTCTAGAGTGGCCCACCCAACCCAAGAAGCACGCACCTCATTCTTCCCGCACCTCTTCCCCACCCACAGCCTCCAGAGGCTCTGGATCAACACTGAGTGTGCGGGAGAACGCTGTGGGTGGCCTGGGCAGATGGGCCCCACTTTGGATTGCTCCCCCTCCGTTCTGATGCCTCCCTGGGGACCAAGGATAATGACTTTGTGTCTGCGCCAGGAATGGGGCCTGGGGGACCTGGGGTCTGGTGTGCCAGGCACCAGGCTGCCTCTGCTCTTGGAAGACCAGGGAAGGAGGTCAGATTCCTGTCCAGCTTTCTTCTCCCAAAAGGGACCCAAGACTGTGACGCTTACCTCCACCCTCATCCAGCACCCTTCAGCTGTGTGTGGACAAATAAGGACAGAAAAACCCCGTGTCCAAGGGCCGATTTTAAAAAGAAAAAAAAAAAGACAACAAAATTTTAATAACTGACTCCGACCTCAGAAGAGTGCTTGTTACCTTTCTGGAAAGCCTTTAATTACCAGAGCAGGCTTCTCCCAGCTCAGAAATGCTGAGAGGTCAATGTGAGGCCAGAGGATCCACAAAGGAAGACGGGGCAGGAGGGACGAGGTCAGGATGGCAGAGAAGGCAGAGTGTGTGACGATGGATCTTGGGCCCAGAGGCGTCCATGGCCTGGGGTTCCTGGGCTGGGATTTTGGACTCTGGATTTGAAGGGAGCTGGCACTTCCAGATGTAGCAGGGGTGGGGGCCCAGATGTTAGAAGAGGCTGTGTGTGTGTGTTGGGGAAATTAGGTTATCTCTGAAGGTGGAGTTTAATTTCCTTTAATGGCCTTTAATGATTCCCTTTCATTCTGTAGGCAGTGGGAGGGGAAGACTGGCCCGGTCTCTCTTGGCAACCCAGGGACCCTGCACATAGCTTGGGTTTCACCTCCTGAATAAACCGCTGTGGCAGTCCCACGTCCCCTCCCACAGTAGGGAAGACAGCTGCCACGGGAGGTTAATAGCCCTGGGTGAGGTCACTGAGACATGCACAGGCAAGCTGGCTCAGCGGGGCTGCAGGGCCCGGGCAGGAGGAAGCCAGCCTATCCTCTTCCCCCGATGCCAGTGAGGCCAGTGTAGGGCAGTTGGCCCTAGGGCCTCTGCTCATCTAGGTTTTTGGTGGCCCCTGGTGAGACCTCACACTGAGCCCACTACTGTCACTCTTCTCACCAACAAAAGCTAGCCTGGAACTGCTGGGGTTAAAGTGGGTGAGTGGGAACCTGAATATCCCCTTCTGGAAGGTTCTATAGAACCCCATTTGTAAGCTCCTGCTTCAACCTGAGCACCCTCTGCTCAGGTTCATACCCCAGCCTGCGCTGAGTCAAGAAGGAGGAGGAGGCTCTGCAGGGGCCGAGGGTGTGAGCTGGGGCTGGGATTCCCCCGAGAAAGAGCTAAGGGTTGGACGGGAGTGGGCATTGCAGAGATGGGGCTGGGGGTCGGGGCCACACTGCGTGTGGGAAGCTCTGGAGTTGCTGCTGGGCCACCGAGGGGCCTGGTGCTGGCTCTGAGAATGTTCTGGGTGACGAGTCACCTCCATTCTGATCAATAAAACTGTCGACGTGCATTTCTTACAGGGCTGTCTCCTGGCCTGTTTGTTGGGTTGGGGAGGAGGGGAGGGAAGTGGAAAAGCTTGCTTCCAATTCCACCCACCATGCCTCCACCTGCGCGGCTCAATGTCTGCTGTCACAGGCAGCCCGTGTTCAGCTGGGAGACCCCACAGTGCCAGGCAGGCTGATTCAGCGGCATGACTGGCACATGCCTCTTGCCCTGGGGCAGATGGCCCTGCTGAGATGGAGATCAGATCAGGCGAGGGATGGGTCCTGCCTCTTCCTCTCTCCTCTCTTCCTTCGGCATCTCCTCCATCTCTCAGGGAGGACAGGTCAGGGGAGGCAGACTGGGCCTACTAACATAGGTGGGAGTTCCCCAGCGGGGCTGGTTCCCAGAGGCCGCTGCGATTCTCCTTCTGTTTTGTTTTGAGACAGAGTCTTGCTCTGTCACTCAGGCTGGAGTGCAGTGGTGTGATCACAGCTCACTACAGCCTTGAATTCTTGTGCTCAAGCGATCCTCCCACCTCAGCCTCCTGAGCAGCTGGGACTACAGGCACAGGCCCCAATGCCCAGTTAATTGCTAATTTATTTTTTGTAGAGGTGGGGTCTTGCTATGTTACCCAGGTTGGTCTCAAACTCCTGGGCTCAAGTGATCCTCCCATCTTGGCCTCCCAAACTGCTGAGGTTACAGGTGTGAGCTACTGTGCCTGGCCCGGTTCCTTTCCATTTTTGCCTCTGAAGCTTCTAAGTTACCCAACTTCAGTGGTCAGATTTTGGATGTCTGAAAATACCACCCCCTCATCGCACACATTTGCTGCTGCCTCAAATCACACCTTTTGATACTCGCTCACTTTATTTTAGCTTTTGTTGTGGACTAAGAGTGCAAAAAGTTGCTGCCTATCAGTCATTGACACTTCAGTCCAAATTAGCCACAGACCTGTTTCTAAAAGCTGGTATTGCCTGGGGAGAAGTGAAGTTATGAGTCTCCTTCCAAAGGCACATATAGTTCTCTGAGAAGGAGGTAGATAGTGGGCCAGCACCCCAGGGAAAGCCCCCACTTTCTGCATCTATTCCCCATCTGCACTCACAAGAAGGCTAGGGAGACTGAGGCTTCCCTCCTGAGCTTGAACTCTTACCCAGGGCTGAGTCAGCCATCAAGCCATTTCACAGCTGAATAAAGTGAAGCTGTCACTTGACCCAGCAGCCCAGCAGCTCTCCTTGAAAAGAACGTCCTTCCCAGAAACTGGGACATGGGAATGACAATCTTAGGGTCCTGTTGAGGTCCTTGAACTGGTGCAGATGTCCCAGCTGGGGATGCTGGGGAGCGCGTCCTGGTCCCCATCCTGCCTCAGGCTGTCAGCCCTGCCAGGGAGAAGGGAGGAAACCTCTATTCAGCACCTCCTGAGCCTCCGCCAGGCAAGGTGCGTCTTCGCTATTATCTCTGCCAGGGCCGGTGATTAGCTGCATTTTCTACAGATGAGGAAACCGAGGCTCCAAGAAAGGGGACGCTGACACCCAAGGGCCTATTTTGGGTGTACGGTGGAGCCTGCATCGATCCCAGGACTCCTCTCCCCAGAGCCCTTATTCGGCTCTTCCAGGAGCCTGAATGCCCCTCTGACTTCAGTTTCCCCAACTGACAACTGAGCCTTCCTACTCTGACATGCCAAGCTCCCCTCTCCCCGCTGGAGAGAGTTCTCACCCTCATCATTTACCCCTTTTAGAGGTTTTTGGGACCTAAAAACAACAACAGTAGTAATACAAACTCCATACCAGAGATCTACCAAGGTTGGCCCATTGAGGCCTCGCTGTAACCATTTTTCAGATGAGAAAAGTGAGGCAATTAAGAAACTTGCCCAAGGTCACCCATCCAGGAAGTGGCTGAGGCAGGGCTGAAACCCAGGCCTATCTCTAAAATCCATGCTCAAACAAAACAAAACAAAAACAAAAACAAAAAAACAAAAAAGAAAGAAAGAAAAAAGGGCTGGTGTTTCTCAAAGGGCACCGAAATGCTTTGGGGGTGCTTATAAAAAAAAATCCAGAGACCAGGCTGCACCCTTAACCTGCTGCATCAGACTGGACAACAGACCTGGGAATCCGCATTTTCACCAGCTTCCCCAGCAGAGTAAGGAAGCTCCCCATTAAACCGTATTATCTCAGAAAATGGAGGTGACGGGGCAAGAAGCATCCAGGATCAATATCATATATCTCTGCACCCCCTCAACAGCACCTGCCCCCATCAGTACCTGGTGCCTAGCCAGGTACCTGTGGGGACTTGCTTCCTAAGAAGTCAACTCCCTGAGTGCCGGGGTCGGGACAACAGGTTCATATGCAAATATTGGGTCCCTTCCAGTCAATCCTGAGCTCTCAGTTCTGGGAAGGGGCGGGGCTTTCATGACTGGAGCCAATGAATTGGCACCCTGGGCTGGAGGGGTGGGGCCAGGGGCTTTTAAACCTCATCCCAAGGGGCCTTAGAGGCAGTGTTGGGGTTGGCGGCCACAGCTAAGTCCGAGGCCAGCATGCCGCTGCAGAGAATCGTGCGTGTGTGCCTGGAGCATCCCACCAGCGTGGTGTGTGTGGCTGGCGTGGAGACCCTCGTGGACATTTATGGGTAAGAGTCAGAAGCCTAGTGGTTTGCAGGCCCTTGGTGCTGATGGCCTTGGACCTTCCTCCCTGCAGGCTGGGTAGGGCTTCTTCAGCGGCCACTCCCCAGGCTTGGCCTTGGAACAGCAGCCAATCAGGGAAGCTTGGGTCCTCCTCTTGGTCAGCTGGGTTTCCTTAAGACCCCAGCCAGGGAATTTGAAGTTTGGGAGGCTGAACGGGGTAGGAGAGACTTCATTGGCTGAGCTCCAGACCAGGGGCGTGGAGGGGGCTGGTGCCACGAAGAGATGGCACTTTTCCATGTCCAAGGGATCCTGCAGGTTGGGCTGAGGATCTCTCTGGGGCACACAAGAATAGAAACGGCAGATATCCCCAGCCCCATCCTGAGCCTATAAGCCCATAAACAGAGTGTGAATCATTAAAAAAAAAAAAATTAATACATAGCACTTACTATGTGCCAGGCAGTATTCTAAGAGCTTCACAAGCCTCTTGAGTTAACTTCAAACTGTAATCTTGGATTTAACCCTTACAACAACCCTGTGACCTAGGTTTACTACCGGCATTATCTCATCAGACAAATGAGAAACGGAGGCAGAGAGGGCAAGCCCTTTGCTCAAGTCACACCGTTACTAAGTGGCGAGCCAGGGTTTAAACCCGCTTGTGGTCCCGCTCAAGAGTCTTACGCTTTTAGCTGCTCTTCCACTTGGACAATAGAGATGTCTGACCTGGCTTCCTCCAGACACTCAGTGCCCACACATCATGCCTCTGCTGTGTGCCGTCATGCCTCTAAGGCCCATGGCGGAGGGAGGTGAGGTCCTGTCTTCTCTCTCTTAGGAAGAAAAGAAGGGTTAGGGCAGGGTTTTAGGAGCTGGGCTCTGGGACCACCAGGTGGCTTTTGGGGGAGGCTCCAGGGTCCCAGCTCCGAGGTAATCAGGATGCTGGGAGGGGAGGGTGCCGTGGGACAGCTTCCACCTCTCAAGTCTCCCAGCCTCTCTTCGGGCCAGGTTTCTTAACCTCAGCACTACTGACACGGCACCTCCTTGTCATGGGCCGCGCTGTGCACTATAGGATGGAGAGCAGCATTCCGGGACTCTCTTTCCTGGGTGCCGGCAGCACATTCCCCAGTGGTAACAACCAAAAATGTCCCCAGACATTGCCAAATGTGCCCTGGTCTGGGGAGCAAAATATCCCACCCACTGAGAACTAGTCTCCGAGACTAAGACTCTAAAACTCGGGGTGAACTTAGGAGCAGCGATGGGGCTGATCCAGGGCATTGGATGAGAGGGGGTGAGGAGCTGGTCACAGGAGGGAACCAAGTCTGGAGCACAGCCAGCCCAGCTAGGCACCGGGAATTAAAGCCTGGTATTGGGTGGGTGGGCAGTGAGGAGGAGGAAGGGGATTCGGTGGTTCTTGAAGGAAGGTGCCGCCACGGAGGCTGAGCCCCCAGGATAATGAGGAAGGAGGGGTACCTGCCACTTGGCACCACTGCCTGCCTGCCATGGGGTAACTGGGCTGCACGCCATAGGGTGACTCACCTGCCCCTGCTGCCTCATGCCCGTTGGGCAGATGTGTCTCCGGTTTGACCTGCCTGGGAAGCCTGGGGCTGGCGTTTCCCCCAAAGAGCTTCCTTAGAGGATAGAGGATGGGTTGGGGCAATGAGAGCAAAGGCACAGCTTCCTGGGGTTACCTGGGCAACACTGGAGGTTTGCAGAGAAGACCATGGGTGGGACAGCCACAGAGTGGGGGACGGAAGCTCTGATATCTTCAAATGAGGGATTCTTGGGCCCTGATGGCCAGAGTCCCCAGGGGTGGGGGTGGAGAGCTCCTCATACGTTCATTCACACATTCTTCAAGCATTCTTTTGGGTCTAGTGTGTGCACCAGTTGGAGCCTTGGAGGATGAGCACAGGCTCTGGGGATACACACAGGGGTGCACAAGCAGCCCCTCCCCTCGGAGAAGCCAGCGAGGCCGGACAACCTTCTTGGAGGGATGCTGCAGAAAGAACTCCTTGCTGCAAAGGCTGGCAGGACCGAGTTAGCTCTGAGGTCCCTCCTGGCTTGGAGATGCTGTGACATAACAATCCCGGGTGCTCAGACTATGCGTCAACAAGAGAAAGGGAAGTAGGTGTGGTGGCTGAGTCCTGGCTCTGCGACATCCCAGCTCTCTGACGGTGGGAAAAGTCCTTTAACTTCTCTGAGTCTCTGTTTCCTCACCTGTCGCCTGGGGATGATAATAATATCAGCAATGACACTTAATGCCACTCCCCAGCAGTGCCTGTCCTAAGCACTTTCCTTATGTTAACTGATTCTCACAAAATTCTAAAGTGGGCACTGTCATCATCATCATTTTATAGATAAGAAAACAGAGGCACAGAGAGGTTAAACAACTTGCCCAAGGTCACACAGCCAGTGAGTGGCAGAGCCGAGATGCACCCAGTTTGGCCTTACTTCAAAGGGCAGTTGGGGGGATTGAATGAAATGGTGTGTGCAAGGCATGTAACTAATAGTGATTCACGGTGAACTTTCAGTTATGGTAACTGTCACCATTTTCATCATCATCAGTGTAAGGGTGTGTCCTGGGAGTGTGGGCAGCCTCAAGCATCCCCAAACCCGCCATATGTAAGATGTCTGGGGAACAGCCTCTGGACTGTACTGGGAGAAGGAGCTGAGAAGAGAGAAATGAGCATAGCTGAGTCAGGGTAGGCTTCCTGGAGGAGGGGCACCAATCAGAGCCTTGAAGGACGAGCACAAGCAAGTCTGTTGGGCCTCTCCATCTCTGGCAGTGGATTCAACTTTATCTTCTTGCCTTCCCAGGAATTGGAGATGACCCAGGTGTGTTATGGGGGCTTTTCTTTCCTGAGCAGTGAGTCTTAGGATGGGGAAAGGGAAGGAAGGGTACCCTGGTGCCTTGAGCCATGCATTGGGCGTCTGGTGGCTTGTTAACTCCTCCCTGCAACTGGAGGCAGACTCAGATGGATGGTGGCCTGACAAGCGCTATCCCACGGGGCTGTAGGACTTGAACCCAGATCCTATCAAGTTCCACTGCCCAGGTTTGCTTGGTTCCACACAGCTCTTTCTTGAGGCTCAAGCATCAGCACAAACCTTAGCACAAAGTCTTAGTGCAGGAAGGAAGCTGGTTTCTTTTTGCTTTCTTTCTTTCTTTTTTGTAAACAGGGTCTCACTCTGTCACCCAGGCTGGAACACAGTGGTGCAATCTTGGCTCACTGCAGCCTGGACCTCCCCAGGCTCAAGTGATCCTCCCACCTCAGCCTCCGGAGTGGCTGGGACTACAGTATGCATCACCATGCCCGACTAATTTTTGTATTTTTTGTAGAGATAGAGTTTTGCCATGTTGGCCAGGCTCGAACTCCTAGGCTCAAGTGATCTGCCTGCCTCCGCCTCCCAAAGCGTTGGTATTACAGGCGAGGGCCCCTGCATCTGGCTTGGCTTTCTTCTCCTTCTCCTTCTCCTTCTCCTTCTCCTTCTTTTCTTCTTCTTCTTCTTTTTGAGAGGGAGTTTCACTCTTGTTGCATGGGCTAGAGTGCAATAGTGCAATCTTGGCTCTCCATAACCTCTGGTTCCTGGGTTCAAGTGATTCTCCTGCCTCAGCCTCCTGAGTAGCTGGGATTACAGGCATGCACCACCATTCCTGGCTAATTTTTTTTTTTATTGTATTTTTAGTAGAGACAGGGTTTCTCCATGTTGATCAGGCTGGTCTTGAACACCCGACCTCGGGCGATCTACCTGCCTTGGCCTCCCAAAGTGCTGGGATTACAGGCGTGAACCACCGTGCCCAGCCAGTTTCATTCTTAATGAGCAAAATCAGAATCCCAGGATGACCTCTGGTGGGGAGGGCCACCCCCAGGGCCTCCATCATTGGCCCAACGGTGAGAATGGACTGGACCCATTCGCACTGGGCCTTCCTGTAACATGTGGAGATGCTTCCTGGAGTCTGTTGGGTTGTGGCTGCTCATGTGGCTGAGAGCCTGTGAAGGGTCACCTTTGGGATTCGTCACAGGTGGGCCTGGAGAGCAGTCCCCAGGCTGGTTCAGTGAGACATCTCTGGGGTCTCACTCACCACTTCGTTTTTTAGTTGGGGAAACTGAGGCCTGGAGTGTGAAATGATTTGCTCAGGGTTACATAGCAAGTTAAGGACAGAGCTAAAACAAGAAACCAGATCTTCCAATTCAAACAGAGGATCTCTGACTGTTGGTGAAGGAGAAACTGAATACAGAGGTGCTGAGACTCGCCTGGATTGGGGGTCCTGGTGCGGCTTGTGGCGCCTTTGTGTTGGCAGACTTGGCTCTGAGGGCCCCAGAACTCCAGGTATTCCCAGATCCATGGCTGTGTAGGCCCCAGAGTCAGAAGACCCCGGAAGGGTCAGGCCCCATCTACATGGCTGCAGAGGGGCAGGACACGCACAGCAGCCTGGAGGGCAGCAGAGTCTGTTCTGATGGCAGCTCAGACACCTCTAAGAGGGGGCAACCTTGACCTGAGGGGCTCCACAGCTCCCGCACCTCGGAATGACCTCAAGTAGCAGCACATGAAAAAGACAGGAGGCAAGGAAGCCACCACCAAGGTACCCCAGGCAGGGTTCCGTGGGTGGCTTCCTGTGGTGAGGCTTAACAGGTGTCTCCTAAGGGACCACACCTGGCAATGAGCCATCCAGCTCCTCTTTTCTCCAGCTCAGAGGCTTTCAACCCTGGCAGCGGGTTTCAATCACCTGGGGACCCATAAAATAACTGATTACAGGCGTGAACCACCGTGCCCAGCCAGTTTTATTCTTAATGAGCAAAATCAAAATCCCAGGATGACCTCTGGTGGGGAGGGCCACCCCCAGGGCCCACCTTGGGAAACCTGATTCAACTCATCTGTTAAGGGCCCCAGCACCCTAGGTTTCTCAGGATCTGCTGGGGATGGATGTGCAGCTGGCGCTGTGAGCTGCTGCCATCGTTGGGAGGACAAATAGCTCATGTCACCCCTTTCTCAACAGAGGCTGCCTCATGGAGCC